TTTCTACAGTGTGCTAAAGCAAAAATATATCTATAAGCATAAGATGGGGATGAATTGCGAGACGCAAGACACCAAGTGCCAAAGACAAAGTAAGAAATGAAAGCAACGGAATAGCAGTTGTAGGATGAGGAAAAGACCAAGTAGAAGGAGGCTGAGAAACCGAGTGAAAATGGCCTTAGAGGATTTACGACCCGTGATAGGGTCTACGTTCGTTGAACTGTGTGCACTTTCGACCCTAAAAGATATTGCGGCCGTTTCCCTTTTGCTTCAGATCTACAAAAACACTTTTTTCTCCCAGATGCTTCTTCTACTTCGTTTCTTTTATTCCAATACTATTACTTACTACTCGTGTTCATTGGATTTTTCTAACTAAACTGATTAATTTGAAAATTTGATGTGTATGTTCTAATTAGGATCGACATCGAAAAAAACTGGAAATTTTTCTTCACTCTAAGTACGCATGGTTGTTGAGTTTGATTTTATTTCATTATGAATATTGATATTAATAGAGTATTAATATCTGTTGTTGAAGAAAAATTGAAAAAAAATCCATAACATTCTTCGCAAGTAAAAAATTCGGAAGAAAATTCCAATAAAATATGTCTTTACTGAGTTAAAAATTGGCGCTTTATATGAAATACGTCGGCCACCATATGGCCAAGAGGCGTGAGATAGGAAGAGGAGGAGGTGTGGCGCGAGGTACTTGCGACAATATATTCAGTTTCTTCGGTGGTGCCAGTGCACTTGGCGCGATTTCTCGATCCTTTATATTATTGGAAAGCGATAGTATTTTCACGCTGGTGATTCCCCTTATAGACTTTGACTATATTTTACTATGTGATGTAAAAGATATAAGTGCGTACTTAATATAAGGGATGACTAAAAACACTGTTTTATCACTCATATAATGAATTTCGAACGTCTAAAAAAAAATTCCAATAAAAAAGAGTTTTATTCTAATAAAACTCTTTTTTCATACAATTTAACAGCATTTTTATCGAAAATAAATATACCACTTAAAAAAACTATGCCTTTTTTTAATTTAATTTTTTTATAATGATGATAATAATAATAATAATAATTATACTATAATAGATATTGTAATGTTTCACCTAAATCTTCATTTAATATTTGATAACTTTTCAAATTGGTAAAAAATAAAATACAAAAAATTTTAATTCACAAAAAATAGTACTGACAATTTTTGATTTATGAATAGGTAAAAAAAGTGTAAAATAAAATATCACGTTTATATTGCTGACTCTGTTGAATTCACGCGTCGCATCGCCGCGTGCAAAAATAATGTGACACGTTACCCGCCAGCTGTTCCCTTCTGCTCCATATTTCAAACCACTCACTTTAGACGCTTTTTATTTTTATCAAATTTTTCCATTTTTCTCTCCTTTATTGTATATTATTTAAATTTAATTTTTGCTTTAAATATACATGCATCTCGATACAGAGCTGTAGTACGTAAAATAAAAGCATTGTAACCGCCAATATTGTTCATTCATCAATGAATATTTAATATGACGTTAAAAATAATTCATTGAAAGTAGGTAACAAATTAGTTAATCAATTTATACGTATTCCGGCACACATTAATATAAATTGTAAAAAGAGTCATATATGAATTAACAATTCTGTGTGCATGTAATCAACAGAAATATATAATTTTTTCTCAGTAATTTTATCGTTTCATATTTTTAATCATTAGCTAATAAACAAAGAAAATAATCTTATTTGTAAAGATTATAATGAAAAAAATTTCAACCAAAATATTCATAACCATGTTATAAAAAATGAATAAATTGAACTTGACACAATATTTTTTTAATATTTTAAAAACTTTTTTCTGGAAATACATGTCGAATTATAGAATTTTTAAAAAACACGAAGTTCACTGAACGAGAATCAAGACATCTATAAACACGAGGACATTTACCTTATTTTTTGATATATATTTTTATCATCAATCATAAATAAGCAAAAAAAAAAATACAATAACTGATGTTTTAATTTTTTCTTTCTTTATTTCTTAACAATGTATTTGTTAAAAAATTATTATTGCAATAGATCAGATAAGAGATTTTCTTCAATGTTAGATTCTTGGATAGACAATAGAATATTTTTGAGCACGATTTTTTTGGAAAAAATATGTTATGTATTCGTTGACACGTAATCTCTTTCGTTTGACATATGTCGTGAATATTTCGTTCGATATGAATAATTATTCATTTGAGAATAAACTGATACCAGTTTCTCTTTCTATTATTCCGGATATAATCAGTATTGTTCTATACTTTCTATTGTCAACAAATAAATGATAATCATGATTATTAATTCAGAGGATAAAAATCTTTGTACATTAATCGGATGGTTAACTGAATACGTAAATAATTAAAATATACAATTATCCAAGTAGGGTTTTGCAGGTAATTACATTCGCTTATTAGTGAATTCAGGTATCATGGAACACTGCAAATTGCCAATCATTTCAATAATTAATCATTTGGGATTATTCGAAATAATGGTATTAACGAGTCGTTGTTCAACGGATAATATCATTTCTAAAATTCATTTGGTCTTTCCATTGAATGAATTACGTCATAATCTTTTTGAATAATATGAATGAAATGATTTATATGAGAACAATAAAATACTATATTGAATGAAAGGTAAAATAGGATTCAAGAATGAAAATTTATTAACTAAATATGCTTGTATTGATATTTTATGATTTCTTTATTCTAAATGGTCATGAATAAAACATTAATTAATTCCGTTTTTTTTCTTGTTTTTCGTTCAACTTTTAATAAATTTATCCAATATATTCTTGAATTTTTTTTACACCTTTCTACTCTGTATTGATTTTTCACGCACTGGTTTTAAATTTGGTATTGGATTTGTAGATTTACATTACGTTTAAATTTAATATTGTCATAACAATCTTTAATTCCTTAATTTTATGTCAAAGTTAAAAAGTTGCAAATTGAAATGGATATGTTGATGTTAATTAGATTCATTATATCTAAAATATCACATATTCTAGTTTGATCCAATTCAATAATTTTCAAACTACAGATTTATTTGAAGTAGAGGGAATGGAAGATTTTTATTTTCAGAACAAAAGTTTCCATTTATATTATTAATGAATGACAGTTAATTGAATACAAATACTCCAAGTAAAACTTACTGTATTTGAGCACGAATAGCCTTTCTGAGATAATGAAGTTAATTTAAAGCAATCAGCATCAGGATCTAAGAATGAATGCTAGGTAAATTAATGAACGACATGTATTCAAATGTTGTACATCTCCTAAACACTTTTCAGTAGCCTTGGCAACTAGTTTATCAGTAATTCGCACTTATGCTGATACTGTTTCACTTCTCGTACTCTCGGCTGCATTGTTCTAATTACAGTCGCTTGTCCTAAACTTCAGCACGCAAGTCTAGTTCTACTGAGACAATAGTTTAAGCTCAATTGCTCTAGCAACGATGAAGAGCTAAAGAGGAAGTGGAATAGAGTGAAAAGCGACAGAGACGGGAAAAAAATAAATGGTAGTTGGTCTGATTGATTGCCATCCCCATTGCAAAGGTTCAGTAGCTCGACACTTTTTGTACTTTTAATCGAGGGTCATTTCCACGAATGGCTACTGGGTGACGACGATTCTCGGCACGTTGGATCTCCAACAATAGTATGAAAGCATAGTGGGAAATGATGCGGTAGCAAACATGCAACCGCAATCCAGTTGGATCATGCTGATTTCCGTATCCTCGTGGCTCTCCAAGAGGAGAAATCGAATTTTCTGAATGCAGCGCTTCTCGTTACTCTCCGATACACTGTTCTCAGCGAGCAAATTCATGTTGTGGAGTTGTGGTGTTCAGCAACTCGCACTCTCCGTCTATGCAACTTTACTTGTGCTATTGAAAATTAGAGGAAAATAATTGAAATTTATTACCTCATAAAATCTAACGCTTTTATACTTGAAATCTTAATCAGTATGAAGAACAAAACAATACAATTAATATGAATATCATTTGGGAATGCTTCTTCTATTTGTTTGATCACACGTGAGTTTTTTTTTATTTTTCAGTAATTTAAATTATTTATGATGATATTAAAAAAAAAATAAAAGTATATAGTACAATCATTTTTTTTAAGTTATTGAATAATAATTTGAATGTTTTTTTATAATATTTTTTAATTTTTAAAAAACAAAAGATACTTATCATACTATGAATAAAAAATTTTAATTGTTAGTTGTCTTTTAATATTTATTTGTATTTTTTTCATAGAGATGTTTATATATGTTTTTTTTCTATTAAGTTCTTATGACAATTTTTAACCAATAATTTTTATTACAACAATATTAATTTCATCTACATTCTTAATACAATGATTCAACTAATAATTTTTTCTATAATTCGATTTATCCAATCGCACTTTTCGCTCTTTACATAGTTTTTTTTTTTGCAACATTTTTATCATTCTTCGATACATTGACATTTAAAACTATAATGGAGATTTGATTAGATAAAAAATGATCTTACAAAAGTAATAATAGTCACTGAAATAAATGATTAATGGCATAAAGGTTTTAAAAAGTATTGAGCTTCTAGGAATATAAAAATGATCAAACGATAAATGGATAATCAATACAAACGATCACATTAATTACATTTAGTCAATTCACATAATACAATTTCGTGCTGTATAAACAGATGTAGTTTTGTAATTATTTTTTATCACTTGATTAATGAAAATTTTATATTCTAATATTCATTAATTAATAATAAATACATATTACTGCAAAGCGTTTTGAAAATCCCACGTATTTTATAATAATTAATCACCGATACAGTTTGCAACGATAGATATATACAATACAATATATATTTTTATTGTTTCACAAAATTTCTTACTTTTTTTTTATTAAAATGTGTTTTTCTACAATAAATAAATTAATTAATAAACACAATAATACTGAACAGCTTGTTTGACTTATTACTAGCTTTGTTTTAAAAACAAAAATCAATGACAAATACTCCAATGATTGTCAACTTAAATTGTTTGTTATAGATATATAAGTTCGTACAATTTTATTTACGAAATAATTTTCGTCTGCAACTTTATAGTGTTGAAAATAAGTCCTATCATTCACATAACTACTTACGATTTGATGCCTCATTACAGTTGTTAATAAATATTAGTTTTATTTTGATTTTAAAAATTTGGGTGTATAAAATTTTCTGATGGAAAATTTTTTGAATTATTTATTTATTTAAATTGTTTATTTAATATTATTCTCTTTGGAATAATTTTTGGTTTTGTCAAATGACAATAGTATTTAGATAAATGCGCTTTTGGCAATAGTGTCTATAATCTAAATCCATTCTACTTTCTTTCTTTTAAATGTATTCACATTTCTTTAACGATTATTAACAACTACAAACAAAAATAAATATTACTACAATTTCTTTCAACATATTTTACAATAGCAACTGCAGAGCAACATGAAATTCTTAACATAAATATTAGAATAATAGAAAAGAAATTTACGATAAGAATAAATTATAGAAAAAATTAATTCAATGACTTTATTTTTAAATAATAAAAAAGAGGCTTCACTTTCATCAATATTTTTTCAAAGTTGTCCGATCTACGTGATGAAGTTCTTGACACGTTTATTTCCAATATAGACGGTCCGTTCTCAATTCCAGCCTCAATTCAATTCCAAATATTAAATAAACATTTTATCTAATAAAAAACTTACTAAAATTTTACGAAAGTATTTATTACGACTGATAAATTCTCATGTCGAAGCACTTGAAGCCTATGCAAAATATTTATTTAATATCAATCATATAGCATTCATATTTTATTAATGATTTTTATACTGATTTATATGTGTATTTATATATTAATATATATATATATATTAAACTTTTATCACTCTTGTCTCACTCTCATTACTCATAACACTAGACAATCAATCATCCAACAAACAAATGAATTCACATTATCTATTCATCATTAATGAATAACCGTTCATCTATTCACACTTTTATGAAGTTGTTTCGAGTATGAAAATAATTTTAGCACGCAAACCTCGCCACGGGCGGGTTATTCATTGGGCTAGATCACTAGATCTCTGGCCACGTTTCACATCCTTCATGATCATGGCCGTTAAACACTAACTGGAAGCCCCAACCGGAACTCAAGAATCACCTCCCTGCAGTGAACAGTACTAGTGGTGTAAGAAACCATGCGAGTAATGCTTCAGAATACCGACTTGCTCCTTCATTGCCCGCATCCATCATCGGCCTCTTTGTCGAGTCGTAATCTCGATCATAATCTGAAAATATGGCCGACAACTATATTTTCATTGCACAAGCTTCTTAGTTATTTTTATAATATTTCAGACAGTTTTTATTAAAGTGATGTATATAACATCATTTTACTCTGCTCTGCTTATTTGCATGAACCTCTTATGCTAAGGTGCGACAAAGTAGTTGCATATGGTAACCGATAGTATCAAATCTATTTACATATTGATATAATCGGAATGAAGTGAATTATTAGACTTTATGGTAAAATTATGAATTGTTTTTATACTCTTTACATTAATTAAAATTGGTTTCACTAAATTTCGTTTCATTTTTATTTATAACTAAGATAAAATAGATTTTTTTAAGATTTTTATTTTTATTTGAAATGGATAACTGATTACATACAAAATGTTTGAAATCAAAATAAAGATGAATTGTTTAAATAGTTCAAAAATTTGAAGATTAACTTAATCGACTGAAAATTTCATGTATAATAGCACCAAACTTAGAATGAAGACTTTGTTATTAACTTCAACTTTGGTAATTAAAATATGCTTGAAAAAATTTAACTCCATTAGAGATTTTTTTCTTTATTAGTTTCATAAAATTATTACTGAAAAATTTTGTAAAAATTTCTGCTCTAAAAATTTAACAAGACCGTACGTAGAAACTTTAAATATCTAACATAGTTATCTTTTTGTAATGTTATAAACACAATTAAATAATTCAACTATTTTAAACGAAAAAAAAAAAAAAATAAACTAAATATTATAATTGTATTTTAAGAAGATAAATAGTATTGACATTTTACATGAGTTTTACATTTGTTTGGAAAAATTTATTTATTGCTACACGCAGAGAAATGTATAGTAAAAATTACCCTGAATTTTATAGTAATTTGGTGACACTGCAGGGTGAAGGTAAAAATTACTATACATATTAAAAAAATTATTGTGCACATTGTAAAAATTACTAAACTGCATAGTAATTTTTAAGATAAAATTAGAGTAAAAATTACTATGCAGTTTAGTAATTTTTACAATGTGCACAATAATTTTTTTAATATGTATAGTAATTTTTACCTTCACCCTGCAGTGTCACCAAATTACTATAAAATTCAGGGTAATTTTTACTATACATTTCTCTGCGTGTAGAAAACCTTAATCAATCATCATCAATATATTTTATTTTCACTGAACGTATCCAAGATATTCATGGATATCTTGTATGTTAGTAACGTATTAGACTAAAAGAGTCTGCGTACAAGAGAAATTTGCTATCATTATCTTTTGAAATATCCAGAGTAGTTGAGAAGAAATTCTAAAGTAAAGTAACAAAAAGAAAATTTGGTGGATTTTTATGCGACTTTTGGGTGTATTATCGATTCAAACTGCGGCTATCTATCAAGAAAAAAAAACTACAATCAGAATGTAGTTTTCCGTAGTAATGACTAAGAAACAGTATTCGATCGGTCAGATATAATTTAAAACTAACATTTGCTATAGACGAGTCTAAGTTGCCTTGAAAATATAAATTTCGAATGTTAGTGACACCGGAGAATATCTCAGATAGTTTCAGAAATATCCGATTCAAGATAAATCTACTACAACAAATATTTTGGTTTAAAAAAAAATACGTATTTTAATGTTTTTCGTTGATTAAATAAGTTTCAGAAATTTAGATCATGACTGTTCTATTCGCAAATGTTGTTTACATTCTAAATATTGATCCGTCATGGTAAGATAATCAACATAGCCTTTTGCAGTATGAAGGAAAGAAGAAATATTACCTCAAATATGTAAGTGAACTTTTATTCCAGCGTGTTTTCGACTTGACTCTTAAATCATAGCTTTTTTACTATCATCACGATGAATATTTCAAATAGTCAAATTATTCTTCTTTGTGTAACTTATTTTGAATATTTACATTTATGTGTAATGTTTTCCAGTTTATGTTTATTATTTATTATTCTGTTTTTCTTGAATAAATATATAAATAATTGAAAAGTTTTGTGATTAAACATAAAATCAGTTTGTACAAATCGAAAAAAATTATACTTTATAAACTTGACGTAACTCTGTCAAATAGATAAAACTTATAATAAATTTCTGAACAACATATATTGAAGTTAAAAAAACTTTAAATCCTATGGCATATTAAAACAAAATTAATTGTTAAAATTGTCAATCGTGTACTAAATATCTTTCATGTGACGAAGTAAAATCAATAGCACAAGAAAAATATTTCTTAAATTTCTCTACATTTATGAATAAGACTGAGCTGATCAATTATTTACTTACCCGCGTCTCTCCACTCCTCGACTTCGTAGTCATTAGGACGCTGTCGATATTTTTTATTCCCGTTTCGTCCTAAAAAAAATCAAAGTAATATGATATGCATTTTTTATAATAATCAAAGATCGGGTAGTTCTAAATACATAACAGTTGATTAATTCATAATTAAATTGATTTTTCAATAGAATCAAGTTATTACCATGTTTTTTCATTAACGAAGTAACGTAATAGGTAGCTTGTGTTGTAGTTGTCGATGGCGCTGGAATTTCTGTAACAATTAATTTGCTGATTACTTGAGAGAAAACATCATGAAATATAGCATTACAGAATGATAATGAAACTTTAAAAAAAATGATTACTGTAGATTAAAATGTAACAATAAAATAATGAATTTTATTTTGAATAAAATAATCGAAATGGAATCGAACAAATTTTCGCGCATGCGTATCTCTGAGCTTGTCAATAGAATTATTAAAGTGAGATCGTGAATAAATGCATTATCATTCCCACGTGATTCTAAATCACCGGAGTAGCACGAATCTCACGATAGGCATCAGCCTCCTCTTGCACTTCATCCACATTCACCCCTCAAAACCGATAACACAATCAACGAGGAAAATTGCTCGTCAGACTTTTAATTCCGTTCAATTTATACTCGTCATTCTGCTGCCGTCAGAATGGAGTAAAAATGAGTAGAATGAAAAAACAAATAGCGTTAACTTAACCATAAAATAAATGATCCCATTAGATTATCATCTTTAATTAATTATTGAAAATGCAACTCTAGTAGAAGCAGTATATGTATGTCAATAGTATAACCTATTTAGAACTCAAAGCTCAGAATGGTTTAACAAAGACTCAATAATTGTATCTCATGAGACGCCATCTTTAGCGTCAGTATTCGGGAGTATCCAATTGTCCTTTGAACAATGAAGTCTTTGCAGGGTCATCGATTTATTGAACATTAAATACCTACTCCTACTCCTTAATCTACTCTCAAGTTACTCACCATCTAATTTTATAACACCATCAGTTCCACCCAATGAATTTTGTGCCACGCATTTGTATGACCCAAAGTCTTTAGGTCCAACATTTCGTATTTTCAGCATCATATATTTGTTGTAGCCACTGTCAGTATATAAAGCCTCGTACTTTTCACCTGCAATCGAATGGTAATAACCTGGGAAAGTAAAACCATGTTCTTTGTCCATAGTATTCATACAAACTAACTTGGCGTTTAAATATTAAAATTACATCCTTGTGATAAGATTTATTCCGAATCGATACATCAAGAAAATTTTACTCCAAAACCTTTTTTGTTTTCTCATTTCCATATAAGTAGAGGAATTAAAATATATTTTAATTCCTCTACTCATTATAATGTAAATAGTTTTTAGAATAAATAAACAATCATAAAAAAAAGAACATAATTGTCTGAAAATAATTAATATAATATACATAAAAGAATAACAAAACAATCAATGATGAATTTTCTTTTATTAATATTGTAAATTAACATCCGTCTCTGAACCTGGAGTAAAATTTTTACTGATTTCATTATTTGATCAATAATTAAGTAAAAAGTAGTCAATATGAAAAAAACATGTTAATTATTGGATTATTTATGGCTACTGTACTTGAATCTTACTTGAGTTCCACAAACTTTCATAGAGTGTTCTTAGTTTCAACGGATTTGTGTGTGTGTGAGAAGCTCACCAAGCTGTACCCAGTAAGCCTCTCAGAGTTAATTACTTTATTTATTTAATTGTACAATTTATGTAAATTATTGATCTTATTAGGAAATCGTGAGTTACATTTTTATTATCAGACCTACCATTATACTTTATTATAATTTATCGAAATTTTTGAGTCAACTTATTCTAAATACATTTGCCGTAAAATCTAAAAAATAATCTTGATATAAAATAAAGCCCCTTGATGATAATAACTTTTTTATTTATTTATGTTAGATGAAAAATAACAATCTGAACTATGTACGCTCTGGAAATATCAAATAAAATATAATTAAATTGTCGACATAACTTTAGTCAAAATAAATTGTTATTCGACTTTCTCAATATGTTTTTTATTCATCATTTTATTTCGATAAAAAGCGCCATATCCAATAAACTTTTTTATGGTTATAATTTTTTTGAAACGTCCAAAGAAGATAGTAATCAACTTCATGAGATAGTTATTGACGGAAAAATTTCCTAAAATAATTAATAGCTAATTTTTTTATGACAGTCCATTTATATGAGTGCTTAATTAAATTTTATTCCAATATTTTCTCTTTGTAAAAAGCTTTTTTAAATCACATTCATTGAAATATATTACTTCATGAATATTATACTTTACATTAAACACATTCACTTATTATTTAGAGATCAACTTCCTATATTGATTAAACTAAATTTGAATAAAAATAAACAATAACTATGATTTTGATAGAATTTAATGTTTAAAATTTATTTATTATTAACTGCATTTAAAAGTTGAATTCTATTATAAATACATGTCATGTATTAATTAAGTTTTGTATCTACCGATAATTTTTTTGTCAATTTAATCAAATAAACTATGCTTCATTTTGATGAAACAAAAAAATGACTTTTTCAATTTTATCAGAAAATATAAAATTACCAGAGACAATCATTTCGCCTGATTCTGTAGTCCAGTAATTTATTGACGTCGGATAAGCTTCTGTGTGACATTCCAAAATGACATCTTGGCCGATGTAAGCTCCTTCCAATTGATTTGGAATTGACAGCATTGGAGGGACTGGAAAATAGAAGCTCTCTAATAAATCAAACTCAGTCGATAATGAATAGATTTAGAGCAAAGATAATCAAGAAAATGACTAAACCAAATTGAAACATGGCCAAAATGAAAGGTTTTTTTTATAAGTTTATTATTTTTATTATTAACAGGAACTTTATACTTTTTTGAAAATTGAATTATACAACTTCATGAAAGTATTTTGTAAAACTTTTAATAATGTGAAATTTTTTCTAAAGTATATATATATATATATGTATATATATATATTAGAAATCTTAAGAATTATGAAAAAGAATTACATTAGCAAGAAATCATGTGTAGAGTACAAATTGGAGAAAAACTATAACTTAACATTTAATGTAGAAAAGTCATTTAAAGTTTACGAGCTCAAGTAAATCACATTTTATTGCCTCTGGCCTCCATCCGATAATAGTCTACTTGCAATGTTTAAGGATATAGAAAAACTGTCTAAAGGATTTTTTATAGCACTCTAATAGGTAAAATTTATTTTGCAAAAGTATGTAGTGTACATTTCAAAACTTTGAAAGGATTTTTAAAGACACTGTAACAGTGTTATACTTAATTAAAATAATGCAGGTTGAAACTGAAATGTTGAGCTTGAAACAAATCTTGAATATAAAACAGTAAATTCGCTAAAAAAATTTTTAATTAAAATATTGTTTGATCAAAAACTATTATGATTACGGATAAACCCCTATTGATGGTGAAGCGTGTAATTACATCAGTTTATTTTTCAAAAGTATTCATTTCATTCCATCAGGTAGCGTTAATCATTATTACACGATGTTAAATGTAAGATAAAATTGTTCTCATTGAGTTTATGTAGTCCATTGAAAAGTAGTATTAAATTGATTATCAATTTTAAATTTATTTTTAGAATCGAAAATTGTTCATAATAAGATGAAACTTTAAGAGCTATTAGAACTCCATGTATAAAAAAATAATCCATAACGTAATAAGAAATGGTGGTAGCGTGTAAAATCGCTGTTATGTGAGAATAGAAATATGACTTTTTCTTATAAATTAAGAATTCCCCTATAGGAAAAACTTACAAAAGATGAAGATACTGTAGAGTTATTTCGTATTTATTACCCAGTATGGTAAGACAATATATTACTGTTACTACATACCATTTAGATATTGAGAAATTAACGGTCAGAAAACTCTAAAAACCACTTTTTTTGCTGAAAATATATCTGTTAAAGAGAATATTAATACACAGTTTGAATTATTTTAAAATTATAAGAGCAAGATGGGTGAAGTGGAACGCAGGGGCAAAGTGAAATGCTCGAGGAAATATACTAATTTATTAAAATAAGTTTAAAACGCTTAATGCATTTTTATTATTTATTAATGCATTAAAAATTTTCAATGTAATAGATAATTTGTTTATTTAAATTTTTTCGTCGTGTTCCACTTTACCCTCTCTTCCCCTACTTCATTTTACTAATAAAATTTATTAATCTATATGAATAAAATTAGAGTGTCTGTATGTAATTTTGCGAAAACTGCCTCAAACTAAGCTCAGAGGGTTATAACAATTGAATTTGTTACAAACAATTGAAAATGGAAGGTATGTAATAAATCATAGTTTTTTTAACGAGGAATTTTTTCTTTTACTGAAAAAAAGTTACGAACCATATAACATTAATGGAAATTGACTCTTTTTGTTTATAACATGTTTTGTCCTGTTTATTATTAATATACATGAATTTATGACCTTTTTTTTAATTCCATCACAAAGTATTACGTATCTAGAATTGGGCCACTCAAACCACGAAATTATGAATGAGAGATTTTTTCAATTAGCTGAAAAATAGTATGGTTTTGAATTTTTGTACATTAATTCTTTAAGTTTCAGAGATATATTTTCATCTTTATAATTGATAACCAATAGCTGACATATTTAAAGTAAGACCAAATGAATACTGTAAATCTGCATAAAGATTCGAATGAACATTCCGAGGTGGTTGATAAATGAAATGTTGACCGTTAATTAATAAATTTCTGAATAATATGTCTTCGAAAGATTTAATAGAATGTTTTGTTTGCTACGGAACTTAAAAATTATTTAATTCATTAGTGATGTCAGTGACTATATGAGATGAAAATTCATATAATTCTCAATGAGAAAAATTCGTATGTAGTCTTATAAACGGATGGCTCCGATGGTCGAAGTGGGAAATAATAGCAATTACAGAATGAAAAAATTTTTTTATACATTATAAGTCTGTCAATTAAACATCTTATGTCTACCTTAAATTATTTTCGATTTTTGTCAGAAATTTTCTTTGTTCAATGTCATTACTTTTTATATTCCAGTACTAAGCTTAGTGAATTTGCTAAGACTTTTTTCCCGTGTACTTTATTTCAATATACTCATGCAGAAAAAAACTTAATCAAGTTCTTATCAGAATTAAGTTGACTCAATTAGAGTCTAAGACTTTATTACAAAAAATCTTTGTTAAATCAATGCTACTATGCATTTTTTCTGGCTTTTTTCAACGAGAACGGAATATTTATGACAAATTAAAGAAATTACTTTTCTATAATTTTTATTTGTAATGCATTGTCAAAAACTGATAAAAACTTTCTTTGTAATTTTAAAATTAATTTAGCGAACTATTAATTTCAATTAACAATGTCATGTGCAATGGAAAACCTTATATGTGATAAATTCATTAATAGCTATAATTATGTTTATATGAAACATAATTATCACAATTTATACAATGCAATAAAAAATTTTAAATGCTTTTTTAAAATTTTCAGTACAATAATTAATGAATTAGGGTAATTTTAATTCGATTGCTCGTTAAACTATCAAGGAAGTGATATAGATCATCTTTACTTGCACGAGTTTGTAGATCAGCTTTCTCGATAGTATACAAATTTAAATAGAGTAAATAATTACTCTCTTATAAATATAAATTTATGCAACGAATTAAAATATTAAATAATAAACATTCTATAGCAGACACATTAACACGATAAAGTTTGAAGCAAAATTATAAAATTGTTAATCAATACAAAACATGCATTTTCACATAAAAAAAATCACTGTAATGAAGAGTAATAGGCAATATCGAAATTCAGGAAATCCATTTCATGAAGCATCATTTTTTGGGGGCTTGAGTGCAATATGGAGTGGCACAGATTTGATTGATTCTATCCGGTAGAGTAACAGTGATTCCATTGCATGGTATTCAATGGTTCAATGGTTCGAGAATGGGCGTCTACCCTCTCATGGATCGAGTTGTAGAGAACGGGTATCGCCTACGAAACGTGACTCGAAATCGTAGGAAACGCGTGCTGTGTCATGTCGTCGATACGAGACGATAAATCAAGCGATTGAGAGTTGGCAATTTTACTTCAGCTATTGAACAATAGTCCAATAAAACGTTTGAGTTCCAATAATTTCAATAGAACATTTATGACCTTCTTTCTTTATTTATTTACAGCCAATTTGGTCCTGAGTATCTATTTTATTCACTAACAAAGAATTTTTTTATTTTAAATAAAAAAAATCTTTTACATAATCGCGTAGAATAAATATTTTAAAATACAGCTTATTGAAATTTTGTGATTTACAAAATTTACCAGTTAAAATAATGAAATACTGTATTCACTTTCAAATAACATTGGTATTTATAAAATTTTCAGATTAAATATTTGCCTTATTATATATCAGAAAATAAATGAATAAAAAAATCAAAAACATGTAATTCAATCTATTGATGTATGTTAAAATAAAAAAGATCTGAATAAAATATTTCAGAAGTAATTTTTCAAAGTTGAAATGAAAATATACAATGTTTAATTATATGTAAATCACTATAGGAGATGTCGAATATTGCAGAGAAAATAATAATTTAATTAGAGAAGATAGAGTTAAAATGACTTACATTGTACTCGAACATCCACCCGAGCACTGACCGAAGGTGGTACTTCGTTGCTTGCTATGCATAGATAAGCACCCATATGTAGTCTACTGATTTTTACAATGTGAAGCACTTCTCCATTTACGACACTTACTGCAACCAGATAAAAATGACACTGAATAAAATTTTACTGCTTATTGACCTTACTTTTCTTCTTCATCTAAATATATAAATATAACTGTGTAATATTTATCCATAAATATTGTTAATAAGTTTTCAAGAACGAATATTCGACTTGCAGAACATTTATTTTTAAAAATTTTCATGATGAAACAATATTACTTTTAAAGAATAAAATAGTAAAAATCACTGCAGATTTGATAAAATGATCTTACAAAACTATAGCCTTCAATAATATTTTCAAAATAATTATGTGACTGTTAAAAAATAAATATTTGATAAAATTTATAATATTCATGAATGAGATAATCTATAGATGAGTTAATTTGACATAGATGTTGAAAATAACTCACAATTTTTCGGTTGGTCAGTTTTTTCCCACCGATAGAATTCCGATTATTTTATTTTATAGTTTACGTAAAAATCGAATTCAATTTTTATCAATTTAATATTAAAGCAAGTTTATTAAAGTATGTTTTAATTTTTGAAACTATCAAAGTTTTGTTCAAAATTTCATGAGTAATATTTAAAATTGTATAAAATATAAATATCTAAATACACAACTTTTGAGTTCATGCTTCATACAAGTGTCAATAAAATGTTCCTTGTCTGCAACACAAAATTAGGACGCTTGCTTATTGTGGAAAATATTATAGAATAGCTGTCATAAAATGCAGTAGTATCACCACTTGAAATATAAAGACTTATTTTGACGAAGCAAATTGAAGTATAGAAAACTTATTGATAGTAAAAAAATGATGTCCAATAGAAATAAATGGTTTTTTATTTAATTAAACAGATCTTCAAGGATTTACTTCGAGTAAATGTAATTATAGTATACCGTTAGCATGTCATATTTCGTTTAGTGACGATGCTCGAAGCGTCGTTGTTAAAAGCTCAAGACTTTGTGGTAGTATTAGCAGCTCTCTTGAAAATATCGGTAATTCAAGCAAAGACGACGAACATTCACAGAGCCACTTCAGTCTAGAGAAGCAAAACCTGCGTACATACTCACGACAACCATTTATTGGATACTATACGGCAAAGAGCACTTCGTACTTTTATAGTAGCTTTCGCGAAGAAAGTTAGTGGTATCCATTTGCATTGAAATACATTCGGTGTAAAGTAAAGATATTTTTTTGGAGTATACAATTTCTGAAAATGGATATAGACTTTTTGTATTATGCACAAGAATTGATTTTAATCGTCGATTGTTAGGAAAAGCTAAAAAACTTTATCTTTTTGTTCTTTTTTTTCGAAATTTTGAAAAAAAAAGTTTGAACACAGACATATTAAAAAGAAAAACATTTATGATGAATAAACATAGTAAAAAATTACTCAACTTAGATGATATTGAAAAATGATGAAGAATATAACTGTGGTTTGATTGTGGTGATTTTTATTTGTTTTGTTTGAAGAATGAAATTAATTGATATCCATTCTCAAAAACATTTCGTTTGAAATCTCTTGATGCATTATTGCTGTATCAATCCTCTTACTCAAGCAAAGCAAAGATGTTGATGACGGATTTTAAAAAAAATCACAAGAATATTTTTAAAAAATGATAAAATTAACATTTTCATGACAAACATGAGAGTTTTAATTTTTTTACTATTTCAAGTGCTAAAAACTTATTAAAATATTAATTTTTCGTACTTATCTCAATTTTTATCATAAATACGCCGTGAAAAAGCATTAAATGAAAAAAAAAATGTCAAAATGTCAATTTTTCGATTTTTTCTAGCCAAAAATAGGGTGGGCCCCACTTCCGAATAATTATCGAAAATTTTTTTAATCATCTTCATTTCACGTTTTTATATTAAAAACAAAGTCATCTTTTTGGAAGAATACAATAAACAAAAAACAATGCAAGGTTAGTGTCTCTTAAGATAGAGTCTGACAAGAGAACGCCATATTGCTGGAGTCTTGCCTAAAGTCCCATAAAGTCTTAAGAGACTTTATTCAAGACTATTGACCATGGAAAGTTTCACTGATTTTTTACTTAACTGCAGCAATCAGATAGAAAGAAACAAAATAAAGACAATAAAGTGCATAATGATGATCTAATATGCCATAATAAACGTAGGAATTAGTATTAAAGAGTATAAAATAATTCAATAGATGTGTACATAGCATAGTATACTTTTCAGCTACAGTTACATTGTGGTAGACTGAAAATAATAAAATAATCATTATAAAACTTAAAACGAGAAATATTTGCAAGATTTGCAATGGTTTCTGTATTTGGAATGGAGCTTTCATAATGATGCTTTTTTTTCATCTGCATATATAAAACGTTAGAGAGTAAAAATGAGTCAATTTTTATTCAACTTTACGTAAGGTGTGTGAGTGAAAAATGATTAACCTTACAAGAATTCTTTCAACCGTAAAATATTTTATAGGAAAATAGAAAAAAAAAACATCAAAGCGTATGCAGATGCAACTTCAGCTTTCTTCTACTAATTTTGTTTTCGCTTGACTTACCAATGTTTCTTGTTTTAATTGTATTGACTTTTTATTTAGAGGTTATTGCAATAAATTTGATTTTTCAAATTGAGAATTTTGACATGTCTCAACGTTTTGAGATTTTCAGAGTTAGAATTCATCCTTTTTAGAAAGATACCTATGTCTGTGTGCATGTATGTTTATGAATTTTTTTGTGACACGCATACGTTCTGTTAATTATGTAAAAGAAATGATCTTTGAACACCAATTTCTCATTGAAGATGTCTTTTATTTTTCTACATTATAACAAACCATATTATTGAGCATTTGAACAAAGGTTGAAGCAAAACCTAAACGCGCAATACTCTGTCCAACATCTCGGGCCCCTTGAAAAGACTCTTCAACTTGAACTGTATGTGATAATTAGCTGACAAGTAAATCATAATTGTATTTAAATTACTAAAACAATATTAGAAATATGAAAATTATCAAAGATGTATGTAAGATGATGTAGAGTAGAGTAAAAGAAACTTTGGTTCATTAATCATCTTGATCACTTAACAGTAGTGGATACACTTTACGTACTGCTCTTTTGTACAATCTGGTACGCGTTTTAACAGCCACCACTCATACTTGACCATGCATTTTTCCGAATACAATTCTATTATTTTACCAAGTAGCCAATATAGTGGTGGAATCTTATTTTCTATGAGTCATACAATAGTATTAATTTGACAGCCAAAAGTTAACTATTTTCCTCTTTGCTGGAGCTCTTGCAAATATTCTTTATGCCAATGTGGCTATAAGATCTGCAGTAACTGTTATAAATTATGTTAGCTTGACAGTTTGTTTTTCGAGATATGGGCACAACAGTATCTAATGGGTTGAACAAGAAAGTTGTCCACTAAAAAATACGCTAGTATAAGTGCTTGTCAATTATTTAAATCATTAAGAGGATGTAAATAACCGCAAATTCAAAATTGGCCCGCATTATAAAATACTTCTCAAAATCTAATTACCTTCCTTGAATTTTTATATAAAGATGCACTACTTAAATGAGGTAAACGTGGAAGTATATACTCTCTTAAACTAAATCAGTGAAAACTACTGCAATTCAGTGAATATTCACTGCAATTCACTGATTGCCAGTGTCAATCATATTACGGAAAGAATCAGTCATTGGATTGGCACTGGATATCAGTGAATATTCACTGATTCGCAGTAGTTTTCACTGATTCAGTTTAAGAGAGTATGAAACGCCAATCTATTTTTAGCTTCTCAGTGTTAAATTCCCAGTGGGAAGCTATAATAATGAGTCCGATTTTGCGAATCCCGAATTTTGACATAATTTTACGTTTCAAGGTCCCCAGTATTGAATACAACAGTTTTCCAGTGGACGTTTGTGTGTGTGTATGTATGTATGCATGTTCGTACGTGCGTTCGAATTATTTTTCGCTTCGACAATCCCGAGAACAAAAAATGATATCGATGTGGGACCAATTGCATTCAACACATAATGACGCAACTTAAAACTGATTAGATTTTCAAAAGAATCAGTTAGCCATTTTTTATGAAGAATCAAAAAACTGAAAAAAAGCTAAATTTTAATGAACTCAGGTGTATTATTTTCGGAAAACTGAAGATTTCTGTTAATTGATCTGAAGCTCCGACAAAGTTTGAGCCGTTATCCGAATACAGTATCTGATATAGACTCTGTCTTGCAGTGAATCGGTCTAAAGCCACTAAGAAAACTTCTGTTGTCAATTCACTGACTGATTCCAAATGTATAGTTTTTGTATTGAAGCAGGCGAATACAGTGATGTACCCCTTGAACAAGTGTCTAAGTTGGCTTTCATGATAAATCATTACTTTTTGGAGTCTGATCTTTTGAAGGTCAGAATAAATTTTTTATGTTTAACTCATACGCTAATGTGCCATCTTTGTGTATATGTTTTAGAATGTCGATCAAAATCACTTTTTATTCTATAGTTTTTTGAAATTAATAAAAACTATTTGCGTGTAATAACAAAATTTAATTTGATTTATATTCTCTGTGTATATGTCTTGATAATAGAAGAAAAAGTAAACATTACAAATTACTCTAGATTGTGGTCTATTAACACAACAAAAACTCATTGAAGTATTATGAAAACTCGAATGATTGGCAATATTTGTCGTAGGCAAAGTGTTTTTAGTATCTTCCATTAACTGTCTGTTATCTTGATGCAGAAGAGTATTGCGACGATCTCCATAATGTCAACATGATCAAGATTTACAATTTCGCCTTATATGACTTAAACCTATGCAATTGAGGCATAATTTTTTTTTGATAACCTCTCTCTTTCTATCCTCTGGTGAAAGTGCCATGAATGCTTTAAATTTGAATAACGAATGAGTACCATCACAGAGCTTTCAGTTCTTTGTTGCTTGAACTAGAGTTATTTTCTTGTTATTATTATTTTTTTCTCTACTTGAAACTATTTTTATTGCTAAATTCTATGATTTGTTTTATTAAAGTGATCTAAGAC